GAAAATATATCTGCATATGTATTTATTATTAATATTAATAGTAACAAGTTGTTGGTTTTTTCCTGTAATATCTATGAATTGAAAAGTTAATGAAATTATCAAAAAATATTTTAGAATTAGAACAATTTATTATAAAAGAATAGAATAAAATTTCAAATAAGATTTTAAATAATTTTATAGATTTAATAAAAGAGAAATGTGAATTAATAATTGAAAATAATAGTGAAAGAATTAATTATTAATTATGTATTAATAAAATCTTTAAATTTTTAACTTTATTTTAATATGTTTTTTATTAATTTCTATACAGTAGTTTTCAAATAATAAATAAATAAATAATTCTAGAATTTTTTAAATCATATTATATATGAATTTTTTGAGATTTTCAAGATCTTTTTTGTTATAAGGAGTTTATTCTTATCATTGAGTATAGAATTGCTTAAGAGATCATTCCAATTATTAGAAATTTCTATTTTTTATAACTTGAGATCTTTGGTATTAATATCAATAAAAGCTTATTTATTTTTCTCTTTTATAATCTCCTTAAGGTGACCAACTAACTTGTTACTATTAATATTAATAATAAATACATATGCAGATATATTTTCTTTAATGAGACAGAATAAAGTAATAGACATAATAATTTATATTATTTTTTGCAAAATCTTATTAGTTATTATTAGGATAAAAGGTACAAAAAAAATTTTTATTATCAGTATACTATATATGCAATGTAAGTCATACAAATTGCATAATTATTTGGTTTACTATTTGTAAAATGTACACATTTTAAAAAATCAAATTATATTTTTGTTAAAAAATAACTGACTGGTTATATAAAAAAAATAAAACTAATAAAAGATATTGGAGTAATATAATATTTCAAGGAAAGAATTTGTCAGCCTTTAAAAATTTTATATATAATGTTAATAACAAAATTAACTATAGGTATTGCTAAAAAAATTGTATATAGTAGAAAAAATATATATCTCTTTGAACAATATATTAATAATAATACTTCAATACTTTAAAAATATATTAAAAATTATAAATGATCTGCTAAGCTTTATAATATAAAAAATTATAATACTTGATATCCAAAGTATATTACTAGAAATTATCATATTCAAACAATTAAGGATATAAAAAAGATTGCAGAAAAAAAAAAGGTTATTGCCTTGCAACTGAATATATTAATAGACAAGATCCTTTTGAATGGCAATGTAAAGAAGGCCATAAGTAGAAGGCTTCAACAAAAAATATTTTAAAGAGAACTTGGTATCTAAGATGTAGTAAATTAAGCTGAAAACCTGTTATATCCAACCAACCATGATACAATATTTATATTAAAGATAGGTCCCTAAATTAAAGGTGAGAATATAATTCAAATGTCTCTCATTATTAAAAAAGTTTTTTTAAAAATATAAGGTCAAAAAAAAACTATCTATAAAGGTTTTTTGTAATTTAAGCCACTTGATCCAAGTGTTTTTTGAATTATGCCCCTATTAAAGTAATGAATAAATAATTATGTCCTCTCAAAAGGGACATAATTGATCTATGAAGTTTTATATGTTAAATAATTTAGGAACCCATTCTTAATTGATATAGCAAAAAATATTGCACAAGAATAAGGTAGTAAATGCCTTTCTACAGAATATATTAATGCAACTACTCCAATGCTTTGAAGATGCATCAAAGAACATGAATGGTTCACAACTCTTTATCAAATAAAAAGTATGGAAAGATGGTGCTCACAATGTGCTGGCAATTTTCCTTGTGGTCTTATAAAAGCTAAGAAAATTGCTCACAGTAAAAGAGGTATGTATCTTTCTACAGAGTATGTACTGTAAATCTCTGTATTCCAATGCAATGGATGTGTGATAAAGGGCATAAGTGGTTTGCGGGTTTTAATTCTATAAAGCACTCTAAAACATGGTGTCCTTATTGCATAAATAAACATGAAAACTTATGTCGTGAAGTCATAACTGAAATTCTTGGCCCACCCTCTGACATCCGCAAACCAGATTTCTTGAATACACCAAAGTATCCTCGAGGATTAGAACTCGAAATCTATTATCCACAATACGGATTTGCTATAGAAGTACAAGGTAAACAGCATGAGCAACATATAAAGTATTTTCACAAAGATCCGGAAGAATTTAAAAAGCAGTTGACGCGTGATCAGATCAAAAAAGAACTCTGTGAAGAAAACTGGATTGTTTTGAGATATGTCTGGTATTACGAAGACTCATATATAGTTATTCCAGAATATCTTCGAGAATTAGGTCTTATTGAGTAAACTCGAAACTTTAAACGCTCTTGCAATTCGTTATTATTTTTTTCGAATATACTTTTATTCATCTGGAATTACATGAAAAATCTAGCTATGAGCGAAGTCTTCAACCATATGGATAATCGTCTGCACAAATTAAGGTGGCTTAGTTGTAAAACTTTTCTGTCGCACAGGGTCTATTGTATGTGATTTTATTATGGCAGGAACAGCAGGTCAATTACTAGGTCAAGTCGTTCCGGTTTGCCAATGGATCCCGCAAAATACACCTAATCCAACTTCAACAATACCTGCTTACCCACGGTTTCCAGACAGCGTGAGGGAATGGATCGGATTCTTTCGAAATGTCAGACGTGCTGGTACGGAATTTCCCCTTCCAGGAGAACAATTCTCCTATGGCGCGCGAGTGCGGTACCTCTCAGAGTCGAAGATGAGGCAAAAACTCGTTTACGAGATAATGTTTTAAATCCTGTTGAAGAGTTATTAGTACCGCAAGGAGCATTTGTTGCAACACCTGCCGGATTTTTAGGTGCTTCTGACTATGTTTTATGCACCAATAGTTACACAGTGGCCAAAATGCCAGTGGAAATGAAAACGCGCCACAATCTTGATTTACGCGGTTATAATTTCTGGCAAATTTATCGATATAACGACCGGCGTGGAATAATGAAACCAAGATTTAGAGACCGAAGATTCGATCCAAATTTTAGATTCAAGAAACTTATCCTATCACAGATACTTGGTGAAATGGCCTGTAATGGCCTCCATTATGGCATTTTATCAAATTATAGCGATACATATTTTCTCAAGCGAGAAGAAACAAATCCAACCACCCTTTATATTTCCCGTGTTGTTCAACCCACTGATACTAATCCGACTTTACGCGAATGCGTTTACTATATCAGCAAACTTGCCATTGATGATATTGTTGGTAATAGATTGGGACGTGTAGAGCTTGACAGTTATTCATCTAATGATGATGACTCTAGTTACCATGATCCTGATGATTATGACGACCCTGATTACGACCCTGATGACTCTGATGATGATGGTGATGATTATGCTGGTTTAGGGAAGAGGAAGAAAACACCAAAAAGCAGTAGCAAACCAATTGCGAGTTCATCCAAAGGAATTACTACTGTAGATAAGTACATAGGTGGCTAAAGCATGAAGCTCATATATATTCAGTTTTGAAAGAATGTCAAGGTACAAACAATTTTTTTTCATTCATAATATTTTTAGATAATATTAACTTGTCTATTGCAATATTGATATTAGGTCGTGATATTCTACGTTTGTTCTACAATGGTTACATTTATGACGGATATCTTTTTGCGTTAGCATTACAATTAATTGAGGGCGCTCATCATGTTGATTCGGAAAAACTCACTAAAGAGGAAAAAAAGTTAATAGTCAATCAGCTAAAGTCAATACATAATTTTGGCGTCCTACACAATGATATCTCAGAGAAAAATATTCTATGTGAACCAAAGAGTCGCCATTACTTTTTTATTGATTTTGGCTTGAGTGAGGTCGTGGGTAGTGAGTCGCCGAAATTGCGCCAGGAAAAAAGAAGATTAAAAAATTTTTTAAAACTTTAAATATTTGGACGCATAAGAAAGGGATTTAATGCGAGTCACAGCATCAAGTTATTTCTTTGATAAGCGAACACAAAATGAGAATGTATTTGAGAATGTATACGCATAAAACATGCACACATGTTTAAAAAATTTAAAGTGGAATCTTTATTATATTTTTTCATTTTTTCATGTAGCAGGATATTTTAAGGGAGGAAAGGCATAAAAAACACGCCTGCTTGTTAAGCCTGGAACATGAGAGGAAAAAGGATTTCTGAAGTTATATCGGAAAATGACCGTTGGCTCGAACCAGCCTGAACAACGGCATAATGTTGATTAATTTCGTTTTAGATCGTTAAGATTGATCCATTAATTGATTCGAATTCTGTTGTGACTCTCTTATGATAGGTTTGAAGGTTGCGTTCAATTTCATCAAGTCTGGCGTCACGATTGGCAAGAATTTCATTAAATGTCTTATCACGTGTAGAAGGGTCGGAATTATGCTTGATGATGCGTGAAAAATAAAATGTGACACCGACAAGTAAGTACATAGAGATTTTCTCGGTGAACATCAAAAAGCTGGCGAAGTCCGAAAATGGAGCGATTCCCGAAACAGCAAGTGATGTCATCTATAAGTGGAAATTGGTCTATTAGCATACAGTATATACACGAATGTGGGGAGTTGTCATAGCATATAAACGAATAAACAAATCTTAATCGTTTGAAATTAGATACATTTTTGAGTGTATGGATCTTTTTATTTATCGAGGGTCAGATATTTTTTCTCCACCTTTTTATATAAAAAAATCAAAGATCAGAATTTATTTATAGACTTGGACACTTTACGTGTTAATTAGATCGATAATTGTTTTCTCGTCATATTCTCATCATCAATTGGACATACCCAGATGTAGGGATGGGGATGTTCCACAAATGAGCAGCTCAAGCTTGGTTCTAGAACACCATTCTACTGTATTGACTCTCAGTTCCAAAATTTGGAGTGTTGGAAGCAACGGTTTATCCAATAAACTAAATGTTACACAAATTTTATAGATAACACAAACCAAACTTGGGTTGTGTTAAACTTGATTCTTTTTATTTTTTTTTCATATAATAAAAAAATATTTGAAAAAGAAATTTTTTATGAAGATAATGACTTTTTTAATGATTTTTTTGAAAAATGAAAATAAAAACAAAAATTTATATAATGAAAACAGTCAATCCTTTCATAATATAAATTCAGAAATAATTAAATCAAAAACTGTTACCTCTAAAAGTTTAATTAAAAGTTCAATATAAAAATATTTTGAAAAGAATCTATTTAACAAATACAAATTAACAACAAGTGTCACTTTCTTAAAAAAATATTTAACAAAACATCATTTAAAAGCATTTATAAAAAAATAAAAAATTTTATCTTTTAAAAAAATAATTTTTTTCAATAAGTATAAACAAAATAAATATAGTATTTATCTTATTTGGTGGTTAATTTGTGACCTTTAATTATTTACTATAGTAAATAATTATTATTTTAAAACATTCATTAATTTTTTGTATTCACACTATATCATTCTTAATCCATATTAAACTAAAGATAAATATAAGCCAAATTCAATTTATGTAAAAATATTATTTATATTTAACTAATAAAATCTTTTAATTTATTAATTTATATAATAGAATTAATAATTAATGAATTTGTAAATCAAAAAGATAAGATTGTTAAAACTCTTTCCCATCCATCACCAAATTTCCTAATTAGGAAATATTTCTCAAATCAAAAAACTTATCAAGTTCTTTACCAAAACATTTTTAACTTCAAGAAACCACTATCAACAGGTATAACCTTGCAAGCA